ATAACGAGAAAACTTTCCTGGACTGGGTCCTTTCGAACTGGATGGCATGTATCCATCAGCAGTTTACCATTAGCTGAAGAAGTACGTTTCTTGAATTGGGGGTTAAAAATTAATAATTAAATAACATTATCATCACCAAAAGAATGTATTAAAAGCAAATTATAACGAGAAAACTTTCCTGGACTGGCTCCTTTCGAACTGGATGGCATGTGTCCATCAGCAGTTTACCATTAGCTGAAGAAGTACGTTTCTTGGATTGGGGGTTAAAAATAAATTATTAAATAACATTATTATCACCAAAAGAATATATTAAAAGCAAATTATAACGAGAAAACTTTCCTGGACTGGGTCCTTTCGAACTGGATGGCATGTGTCCATCAGCAGTTTACCATTAGCTGAAGAAGTACGTTTCATGGATTGGAGGTTAAAAATTAATAATTAAATAACATTATTATCACCAAAAGAATATATTAAAAACAAATTATAACGAGAAAACTTTCCTGGACTGGGTCCTTTCGAACTGGATGGCATGTATCCATCAGCAGTTTACCATTAGCTGAAGAAGTACGTTTCTTGAATTACGGGTTAAAAATTAATAATTAAATAACATTATCATCACCAAAAGAATATATTATAAGCAAATTATAACGAGAAAACTTTCCTGGACTGGGTCCTTTCGAACTGGATGGCATGTGTCCATCAGCAGTTTACCATTAGCTGAAGAAGTACGTTTCATGGATTGGAGGTTAAAAATTAATAATTAAATAACATTATTATCACCAAAAGAATATATTAAAAACAAATTATAACGAGAAAACTTTCCTGGACTGGGTCCTTTCGAACTGGATGGCATGTATCCATCAGCAGTTTACCATTAGCTGAAGAAGTACGTTTCTTGAATTGGGGGTTAAAAATTAATAATTAAATAACATTATCATCACCAAAAGAATATATTATAAGCAAATTATAACGAGAAAACTTTCCTGGACTGGGTCCTTTCGAACTGGATGGCATGTATCCATTAGCAGTTTACCATTAGCTGAAGAAGTACGTTTCTTGAATTGGGGGTTAAAAATTAATAATTAAATAACATTATCATCACCAAAAGAATATATTAAAAGCAAATTATAACGAGAAAACTTTCCTGGACATTGCTTTAAAAACGAAATAAACCAATTATCAAAATTCGTTATTAAAATAATGCATTCCTTAATTCATTCATAGTAAATGTTTAAAGTGACATCATTCATTTCAATGCAGACATCTGCTCTTCTTCTCCAAGATCTGCGTACCCTGTGGAATATCCTTGGTGTTTATCCGAATTTGATTGGAAAGAAGAAAGAAAGAAATTGCTTTATTGTCATAAAAAATTTTTACAATTTTGTTGACAAAGCTTAAAAAAAAGAATATAAAAAACATACCAAAACTTCACTTAACAATAGAAAAACATATAAAACTAACAGCAAACATACAAAACTAAAACAATACTTTATACAATTATAGAAATTGTACATTGTCAAAAATTTATTTAATGGAACAGTCAATAATGCGTTGCCGTAGTTGCTCTTCAGTATTAATCGGCACTGAGTAAACCAAAGCTTTCAAAGTGGCCCCAGAAGTTGAAATCTAGTGGATTATTTCGTTTTTAAAGCAATAAGATATTTTAAAAATCATAAAATTTTGATTGTTCAATTAATTATTTGATAACTACTTGGTTACTTTTGAACCGCCATAACTTTCATAAGTTTATGTTGATACCAACCCATCAGAGCAATCTCTTTGCCTCCAATTTTCTTGAAAACCATCGCTATGGGCGATGTACAACAAGAGTACCTTTTTTGTAGGAAAAAGTATGTAGTTTTCAAAAAATGAACCCACGTTGCAAAAAAAAATAACCTCTAAGAAGTTATTTACGAAACAACCCCTACCCTTGCAAAAACTACCCTCTCCGCTTTTCCAAATAATTTTTCAGTATCACCGTTTGATTTAGGGTCAAAATTTATGGCAAAGCATTTTTTTTCGAAATTTTATCTCGTTTTTTAAGCCTACAATTTCAAAACAACCGTTTTTTAAATTCACCCTTTTAGTGCCCCTAACTCCCTTAATATACATTTTCCGCCCTATACTTATAGGAACTTTTTTTACTATTTTTAGGAGTACTATCACCCCCTGATTTTTTTTACACCATTTCAATAACACCCTGTATAAAGTAAATTTTTACGTTAACAGGTCTTCCAATATTTCTTGAACTATTAAGTTTCAATAGGGGAAAGATCTAGAGTTATGCATATCTCATTCAGTTTTATTTTTATTTGTAACAAATTATATTCAAAAATGTGTAACGCCTTTTCTATCCTGTATGCAAATATTATCGGTAAAACATTGCGTATATGCACTTGACGTCATTCAATACATCATATTCATTAAAATTGACAGGAAATCATTGAGGTATTTCTCGTGATATTCATTGTAGCAAATTCTATAAATAGAAAGTCGGTTCAGAAATCGTTTCAAATTTTGATTGATTTCTGAATTAGTGAAGACATTAATAGATTATTATAATTCAATTGACATCAACTTTACTGATTAATATAGTATATGGCAGTATATTCATCAGTTGCTGAAGAGATTAGACTTATTTTTAGTTTTTTTAATAGACATTAATAAGGTTATTTATTTTCTAGTACTTTAGTCTATTTTGCATGTCGTGTTTCAGCGCTATACCATGCCAGCAACTCTTACTTTTGGGTCGGTATTTACATGTGTGGACGTAAATCGCATAGGGATCTTATTAAGTTGGAATGAGAGAAATGCGACGGAGTGCTGTTGCGGCGTTGTCACATTTCGCCGATACGCCTTTCCCTATCAAGTAAAGTAAAATCACGATCGTAAATCGCTTATTTTTAAAAGACCTCTTTCGAAAAGATAACTACATAAAATCTTTAGATATTGTTAGGGTGTCAATTTTTTTTATAACGAGAAAATGTCAGTAATAGCGATAATTTAGAAACTCTACTTTTTAACACATAACACGCGATAACTGCAGATTAGATATTGAAACTTCTTTTTTTATTTTGAAGTTCGGATCTTTTAAAAGATGTTTAAATAAGAAACATTTGATAGGTCGCTTTTTACTTTTAGTGCATAGCAATTTTCAGTAATCGTGTGACTTTTATATTTATAAAGATTTTAACACAATATCTGCGAAGAAAATATAGCAGAAATATTAAAAAGTTTTTGAAAAAAAAACTACAATCAATTATTTCTAATGGATATTGAGATATCGATTTTTGAATTCAGAGTTCTAATAGAGCGACCACAGTCGAACACCAACTGAATTCCACTTATTTTTACCAAAAGTACAAGTGTTTCTAACTTGCACTTAAAAATTTACAAGCTATAGGGAAAATTAGGACTCGTTAATAAATAAACAAATAAGAATCTGTTATATCCCCTTCCACGTCTCTTAGCAATGTGCACAGTTAAAACCGCAAAAAAACTGCTAATGCTTAACAGGAATAAAATGCGGATAACAACAGGCCTCTTGACAGGACACATGGCTGTCAAGTGTTACCTGAACAAGCTCAACCTGTATCAAGAAAGTCTTTCCTGCAGACTCTGCGATAAAGATCCTGAAACAGCGGAGCACATAATATGTCATTGCGAGGCTCTGAATCGCAAGCGACACTCTTTATTTGGGAAAGCTAGGCTAGAACCATCCTATCAAGGACCTGTATAAGCTAGTGCAGGGCACAGGGATAGGAGGCGGGTACAGGGATAGGAAGGGGGACAAACACAATAGGCCTCACATGTCGCAGTGTTTCCGGCAGAGGACGGCCCCTTGTTATGGCAAAAAAATGTGCACAGTTTCTTGGTTTATTTCATGCATTTGGCAACGTTTTTACTGTTCTCTTTTTGTTCAGTACATTATAAGCGCGTTGTAATCTTCTTACATACGGAAATCTCGACCCAAGACTAACCTTTGCCAGCCCTTAGTGTATACAGTATGTATCAAGAAGTTCACAACCAATGTAAAATATTTTTATTACTGAGTAATTGCAAAAATGGATTCTATTACTTGCACACTGCACACCTAATTCACCAGTTAAAAGAATTGTACCAGTTGTCTCTGGTCTAGGTTAAGTTTTTATTTTCAGCCCATTTTTAAAAAATGTCAAATATGCCATTTTAGCCATATGTCTTTTTAGTGAAACTTATCTTTATTATTTTTTTTTTCCAGAATCTGAAAATCTATATATGGAGTGTTCCATTACAAATAATACAACTTTGTTATGTAAATGTCTTTAGGGATAGTCTGTAGAACTGAAAATATATTTTTAAAAAATGCTCTAAATTATCCTACATATAGGCACTCCCAAAAATTTCATTTTGTGGTGTAAATCAATACTAAGTCATTTTATTAAATCTATTTGAATAAGTATTTTGACCTTAATAATAATTTTAGTGATTATTTTGCAGTAAGTAAAATTCTGATTTTACTAATCAGTTTTGAAACAGAAACAGGGTTAATAAAACCTAATTTGTAGAGTTACTCAGTTTATTTGTCGATAAAAGTTTAACAATGAATCAATATACAAAAATGAAACTCACAATGAATGCGTCATAATTTATTATTGCCCTATTCTAATACGGGTTCACATCCATACAGGGAATTGTTTATATAATTGATTTGTTTAAAGTTTTGGAAAACATCGTTGCTCAATGGACTCGATAGTTGTAATTTTAAATGGATCTACGATTTTTTATATAATATGTTTTATTTTAAAATGTAATAATATAGTCAAAAATTTAATATATGAAGTTTCTTCTCAGTTTAACATTAAGAATTTTATAACAATCAACACCGAATAAAAATGTTTCTTAAAGAGTAAATCTAAAGTCCATCTTGCATACTATAGATTTATATTCAAAGTTTTATTTTATTTGACACAGGTTGATTTGGAAAAGCGTAGAAAACATTGATACAATAAAACAGTAAATTTAATGTGAGATTTCAATTTTTATTAACATTTTCCATAAAATATGTTTTCACAAAATATTTATTTCTAATTTGCTAAATTACTATTTCTTATATCAATATAATCTCTTAGATTTCAAATAACGCTGTAACTAATGGTAGCCCTTACAACTATTGCAAGTCCCGCTTAATAAAATCAATTTTTTTTTTCAATCGTTCTTTGACTTTATATGAGTTACAATGCTATTTGATATGTAAATGACAGTACATAGAAAGTCTTAGGTATAAGTGATGTAATTACTTATAGCTCGTTTTAATTATAAGATAAAAATAGATAAATAGCCATAAATATACATTTATTTTAGTCTTTTAATTAATTAATTATGTACTGCAACAATTTTATTATAACTAGATTTTATGAAACTACAGTTCGACATTGAATGTGTACATTTAATTAAATATATTAATGATTTATTAAAAATAGGTTTACTTAATAAAACATAAAAAAAATATTAACAAAAAATAACAAAGAAATATGTATGAAAACGTGATCAATGAATAATAAATAACTTTATACTATTGTGGCTGGTAACAAACACTTTTAATTGCCAACTGAACAAGAAATATCAATCACCTACAGATTAATTATGCACGTTTAATATAAAAACTAATTTAAATACTGGTTAGAATACTGAGGAGTTATGTCGAAAGAAAAAAGGCAGTAGTGGGAATTAATATGTTCAGCAACCGAATCGAAGTTACTACAATTTGACACATTGAATGCGTACATCTTATTTAAATTATTTATGCTGCATAAAGAAAGATTTATACAGGGCGATGGCACGTTAAACATTTATGGAGGTGATAGGATTTTTGTATAAAGGCACCTGCTCCTATCTGTCTAAATTATTTCCAGCATTAGTACTAAAAGTGGTAGCATCTTTGTTACTTTAAATGGAACACCCGGTATATTATTACATTTTTCGAAACTTCTTTTATCTACAACTTATTTCATAATTTTTCTATTATATTAACTTATAACTTACTATTTAATACTTATTCTATTATATTAACTATTAACTTATTAACTACCAACCCAACCTACTGTTCAATTTGCCAAGCTTGAATCTTTTATCACAGATTGTCATTCTCTCTCTTATCCATGTTACTCACATGAAATGGAAATTTTGCGTCAAAAACGTTAAGTCCATTATATTTCTTACATCGTACGATTATTTTTTTTTACATACGGCTCACCTTCATTACGTATAAAGAATCGTACTTCCTTCTCTAATGTGCACGAATAGAAAAAGGCAAACGTCGTATTTGTATTACCCGCCGCAATCGAACAAAACGAATCGCCAACTGTCAAAGTTGTTAAATTTTAACGAGTCCGATAGTTTCCCGTATATCTTTGTGAGATTTTCTGTGTTTATTTAGTTATTTGTGTTTAAAATTCCATCCTGTGTTAGTGAAAAAGAACAACGGCTAATATTAAAAGTTATCGAGTATTTCAAACGCTAAAAAGAAGCTGGAAAACCCCTTTTACCTGTGTCGGCTGTTTACGATGTAATTGGACAACTACCGAGTTAATGTTTTGTAACTAAATCGAAAATATTCACGTGTTTTATGGGGAGTAATCGTTTGGGAGTAATGGAATCGTGAATATTGAAAGATAAAGAATAATAAAGAATAAAAAGCAGCAAAACAAGTCACACCATTCGTTTGTTCCGTGGAATTCCTGCTTATAAGATCCATGAATATATTATTAGAGGACTATGATAGGACTAGGCTATGATAAATTTGTCATTGTTTAATATTTTGTTATTAAGTTTGCTATTGTTAGTTTACAACCAGATATATAAACAACTCACGGATCAAGTCAGGAAATACACGAAAACCAATATGGCGCCGAAAATGATGACGAAAGTTTCAAACTTCGCAAATTGAACAGTATCTCTAATAGTTTTTTAGACGAATAATAAAACATGCGAAAAATTGACAAAAACATCATAAGTGTTGGTTAAATCATAAATTCGGCATAATGAAAGATGAAATTTGGTTTTATATGTTAAGGAAAGTCGACATGTTCGATCTGCCTAAATCAACTTTGGATTGGATATCAAACAGGGAGATAAAAAAAGAAAACTTATTTCTGTTTGTCATAAAATCGCTTTAATCATCGTTATTTTAAATTCAAGCCTATGTATATTATTTAAAAAAGTGAAACATAAATAAAACTGCTTTTCAACGATATCTTCTCGATCTCTTCAGTAAAGCCATTTAAATGATTATAATTCTATATGAAGTTGTTTTGTTTAAGGAACACCGATACCTTGACAAATACTCAAACTTTATAAGTATCGATTAGACTTTACTTGCCAAATTTCTAAAATTGCCATGGTAACGAAATTCTTTAAATGAGACTATAATCATATAATTATTAGTTTTTAAGAAGATCTAATTAAGAAGCCGGAAAGTTTAGATATTGGAATATGATTGAAAAGCTATTTTATTAGTTTTTTGATTCTTTAAATAATATACATAGTGTTGAATTTTAAAAAAAATAATAATTTTATAACAAAAGGACATAAATAATGTTTTGTTCTCCCTATGTAATATCAAATCAGCTCCTAGACAGATCGAATATACCGACTTTTGCTAATTTATAATCCAAATTTCAACTTTTAAAATGTTCAGTTCATGATTTTACCAATGCTTATTCAAGATCATGTTTTTGTCAATTTTACACATACTTTATTTATTATCTCAAAAAATGTTAGAGATAGGTATATTAGTATAATAAAAAAATTATGGAGATATGAAAGGTAGTTTCCAAAAAATGTAATTATATACCGGGCGTTCCATTTAAAATAAGAAAGTTGCTACCACTTTTCAAATTATGCGGCAACATTGTAACGCTGAAGATGTTTTAGCTAGGTGGAGGAGGTACCTTTATTTAAAAAGCAAAATTTTATTCTTTTTATTTTTTTCTATTACTGGTCCTCCATAAACGTCTAACGTGCCATAGCTGTCAATCCCCTATATAGGTTTTACTAAATAAAATCAATATTACTAACGAAATGTATACGGAATCAGTAAATAATTATTATTAACGTTAACAAACAATTATAAATGCAAGAAACGTTAATCATATACAGATAAATTATGCACGTTTAGGAGTAATTTAAATACTGTTTAGAATACTCAGTCATGTCGAAAGTAAGGGGACAGTAGTGGGCGACTAATACGTTCAACCAACGAATCGAATGTTGGTGAAAACGAGCGATGCGGGTCTTTTCCTGTTGCAAAAGTCGACTAGCTGGCCCCTCTTTCCGTTGCGTTCGCTGTGCAGGGCTACCAATAGTCGGAAGACGTCGTCCTTTTTCGGGATACACATGTAAGCGGGTTCGTATCTGAAAGTAAGTTAACGACGCTTAATTAATTATTAGAAATTAAATTAGTAAATAATTTTCTCTATACAGGGTGTCCCAGAAATAAGTGCAAGTATTTCAACTGGTAGTTTAGTTCGATCCCAGAAACACGCCCATGACGATTTTTTGCGAAAAGAAAAATGTTGAAAATTTTATATTTTTATTGACATTTTCCGAAAAATATTAAAAAACTTTTGAGTACCGCTTTTTCAGTTTCCGGAAATTTGTTTATATTGTTTCGAGAGAATGCCAATGTTGCCTCCTACGTTATTCTGTACGTTTATAAGTTATAAGTTCACATCATTTTTAAATTTCTACAAAAAAAAAATACTTAAATTTATTTCATTTACTGTAGATTTTTAATCGTTGTATTTACTATTAAGTATAGTGCCACGTTCACTATATTTTAATTACCTTTTTTACAGTTTAGTAAACTGAAATTATGAAACTAAATAATAAACAATTAAGAGTTCAGCCATAGACAAGTGCGTATTCAGCAATAGACAATGTAGATAAATTTTCGTGTTAAGAATAATAATTTTAAAAAATATGCGGTTTTTCATTAGACAAGTTTAAATTAGTTGATTAATTGCAGTAAAAAATATGGTGTGTGTGCTGTGATGATTTTAGATGTAATTTTTGGATAATATTCGACATTTTTTTTGTTATGACACAACACTGATGAAGGCTATAATGTTAGCCAAAACGTTTTTTTTTAACCAAATAAAGATACAATACTATGATATAAGATACATATAATCTACAACCAAATGAAAACTTAATCAGCGTTTTTCACGTTTTTTTCCGTCAAATCCCAAGAAAATCAAAAATTTTAGAATATTTAGAAACAAGATCCAAGAACATCAAATTTTCCAAGGATAATAAACAATTATAATATGTCGTAAAATATGTGTAGAGTTAGTTCATAGCCAGCGTCCTATAATATGTAAATTCAACATTTGATATACATTTAAAAAGATCAGCTGATGGAATTTTTTTATCCAATTTATTTGAGATTTTACTCAAAACCCTAAACCTCTGAAAAAAATCTAAAAAATAGGCAAATGTAAGGTTAGTCTGTGAAAATAATTTTAATATTCAAATAGAAATATCACTTATTTTAGTGTTTATGTGTAGTGTATCTTGTGAGATAGGAAAACAGACAAGTTTAAATTCTCAAAAAATAATCCTAAATAATTCAGATGGCATATGAATATATTTTATGTCAAGTAAAAGGGTAAGTGTAGTGCTGTCAAGAATCGCAGTGAAATGAAGTGTTGTTAAGTGTAGAGTTGCGATTTTAGGTAAAGCGATAGACGCTCTAACTTAATTACATCGATCTGCTATCTATCGGAGTCCCGTTTTCTAATGTTAGGTAAGTTTTTTACTTTTAATCTGAATTTTCAAAGTTGTTTTTAAATCTTTCTAGTCAATGTGTCAACACTGGACGTCGAATAAGCTGAGATTCTGGTAATTGCTTGGTATTTGAGGCTGATTTTCAACAGCTGCCGGCGGCGGCTCTCAAAATGTTACCATTAATTTTTTTTAATTTTTAAAGTTAAATAACTCGCGGTTATTATCAATTTATTTTAAAAATGGCAAAGAAAAAATATGTTTATTTAAGTGAGATCTACCACCCCTTAAAATACTTGCACCTATTTGTGGGACACCCTATAGATTTAGCATTATAGATCTTTTCAGATCGACTTTCTATGTTCTCTTAAAGTATATTTGTGACCATTTTCAAATCTTTATTATTTTTTAAATAAATAAATGTCTCTATGAAATTTTTTCGTTTTACAATAGTCTAAATATTACCATTACTAAATTGCAAAACAACTGTTAATAGAAATTGATGGTTATCTTTGGGTGCGTGGTGTAAACCACGTATTACAACTCACTTTACATTATCTCTAATAGATATCAGAGATTTTTGTAGAACGAAAGTAAATTATTTTATTTTCATTATCTTAAATAAACGAATTTTTGCAGACAAATCTAATTACTTTTATGAAAGATTACTTCTTTAATTGACTTTTATGATGACATGCCTGAATTCATCCAACTTGCGGATTTATTTATTAGAAAATTCGAGAAAAAATCAAAGTAACCAATTTTGGTATGTCGAATGTCTAGCATTATCGACTGGATAGATAACATATGACAGACGATATATCTGTCGTGTCCATTAATCCTATTTTGACTTCTGAAGTGCCTCTAAATTAGATTTTTTATATATGGCACTCTACGATTAGTTGATGTGAAACAAATTATTTTATAAATGCTAGTGGAAAACGTTGGGGCATTTGTGCAATACTACTGTGAACTACATAGTAATATTAATTTATTTGGGTTATTATTTAATTTTATAGTATTTTGCTTCATTAGCATCCGTATATTTTCCAGTAAAATCATACTAAATAAATAAAACTAGTAATATTTTGTGTAGATTTCTGTGTCCTTTTCTTTCTGATTTTTATATTAAAATATTTTAATAACAAACTGGAATTTAATATTAAATTATTCTTTTATCAGATGTGATAACCATACAACAAAATTTGTAATTTTCCGTTATTTACATTTTTCCTATTTTTGTCTGAGCATTATTTGTTGAGCAATTGTTTGAGCAATTTATTTGTGTTATTATTTAATTTTATAGTATTTTGCTTCATTAGCATCCGTATATTATCCAGTAAAATCATACTAAATAAATAAAACTAGTAATATTTTGTGTAGATTTCTGTGTCCTTTTCTTTCTGATTTTTATATTAAAATATTTTAATAACAAACTGGAATTTAATATTAAATTATTCTTTTATCAGATGTGATAACCATACAACAAAATTTGTAATTTTCCGTTATCTACATTTTTCCTATTTTTGTCTGAGCATTATTTGTTGAGCAATTGTTTGAGCAATTTATTTGTGTTATTATTTAATTTTATAGTATTTTGCTTCATTAGCATCCGTATATTTTCCAGTAAAATCATACTAAATAAATAAAACTAGTAATATTTTGTGTAGATTTCTGTGTCCTTTTCTTTCTGATTTTCATATTAAAATATTTTAATAACAAACTGTAATTTAATACTAAATTATTCTCTAATCAGAGGTGATAACCATACAACAAAAGTTGTAATTTTCTGTTATCTACATTTTTCCTATTTTTGTTTGAGCATTATTAGTGTAAAAAAAGGAAAAATAAGAAAAGACTGTGGTATTAAAAATATAATAAGGTCTAAGTAAATTGGTGACTTGTTTTTGCAAAAAACAACTAAGGCGATGTAGATTGGCCAACCGAGTAACTTTCCTAATTTGTGTCACCAGAGTTAAGTTTAATTTTACCGTGGTCTGAAAAACCTAATTAGTAAAAATTATGTCTTGTTTACTACAGTTTTGAGGGAGGTAAAAAAAGGAAAAAGGGAAGATTATTGTCCCACTTTATTTTCAGCGTTGAAACAGTGGCGTGGTTAAAGATTTAGATTGTAGAGGAGTTTAAGAGGGATTTAAGATTATTTTTGATTATTACTTTATTTTGAATATGTAGTGTTTTAAGATTATTATGAAGTTTATAGCTTTGATCTATTAAATTATTTATAAAAACCATTACCTACGGTATTGTAGAATGTAGAATGTTTAGGAGGGGGGTTAATCAATGCGACCATGCAGATCTATTGTGTGTTCCCCTTTCTTGTTTTATAACGAGTTATAACTCATCATACAGAATCTGAGATATTATTTGCGATACGGCATTACAATATTTCAAAAAAATATTTTGCCATGCATAAAATATATAATCAAATTAACTATTTAATTATGTTTTATATTCTACTGATCAGAAATTATACATTTTCTCGATATATTTTCCTCTAGTTGTAATAACTTTACAGGCTTGTTCTCTAATACTTTATTCCTATCCATAAGTTGTTTTATTGCTTGTTGGCTATGGAACTGAATTTTTTAGCAACATAATTTCATAATAAAAATAATGTTTATGGCAGGGAGGATATTTTTAATTTGAATTCCGTAAAGGCACGCCACTGTCCTAGAATGTTTTCGACCACGAAGTGTACCTAATTAAAGTATTTTGCACACAAGGAATTAAAGGATAACAAACCTGTTATTCTGTCTTTTCCATGGATATTTTCGGTAATATTTCGACCGTTTAGGCGCTATGGGTCGTATTTCTTGTTCGTTGACGATGTCGTTGGGTTCGGCTTGATCAAAAATTTCTTGTCGGAGCTCGTCGATTGATTCGTGAGGTTCTTCCACGTAAAGGAGCGGGCTAGCTCCCTGCGGCCAGGGTAACAGTAGCAGCTTAGCTAAGACGTTACTCATTTCCTTCACTTTATCCTCGTTTAGTTCTGGATTTGGTTGATCAACTGAAAATTAATATATTCTTTAAGACATACATTATATAAAAGGATATTTCTTTAGATTGTTTTTTCGTATATAAGGTTGGTCTTTCGTAAAATGTTTTGGAATTGACGCTTTTCCACAAAAGTAACTTTTTTACATAGCGTGATTCAAAACCACAATATTATCGACTTTTATCAAAAATGGTTTGCTCTAATTATTTTTAATTTAGTATCAGTTGTCACTGTTGAAATTGCCTTTTTTAATCGAAATATTTGATCACACCGTCATGTATGTACAGGGTCCCCAAATAGCCACTCCACTTGAAATATTTTCTTATTCTGTTATCCTCTCACTAGTTTTGAGATAAGAAAAATCTACCCTACCAAAAGTCAATCACATTTTTTCTACCTTTCAACAACAAATCAAAAAATAATAAAATACCGTACGATAAAAAAAAAACGGCGTCAAAGTCGGCTGGAGAATGGCAATCGAAGATAATTTTGACGAGGTCAATTGACATAAAACTTGTCAAAAATTAACACTAATAATGGAAAGATTAAAAAAGGATATAAGGTTTCCAGACACACAAATCTATATCAAAAACAATATTTTTCTCGAATTTTAAACCACACCATTTAAAAAAATACTCAATATAAAAATAAATTACAACCGTCTTAAGGCCAGCTGGCAGTAAGCACCATAAAAAAATAAAGAAGCACAAGGGCCAAGAAATGACGTCTAGGGCTTGATCTTGCCAAAAATATTATCGATTCTCATGCCTCAGCCGTCTTTGACGCCTTTTTTTCCAGCGTTTGGTATCATATCTCTAATCCCACTAATTGTTCACAATTTTAACTAAAATTGACCAAGTAATGATATGACTATGACATGAGATATTACATACTTTGCTTGGTGAGTATGTTACAGTGTGTTAATTTGTTAGAATTATATTGCAACTTCTCTAACTTTGTGAAAAGTTCAAGGGTTCTCCGTAAAAGCCTGTGGATTATTTTGACATATTTTTTACAGTTTTCTTTTTCTCGCAATACTGCACTCCTCAGAAATACAACAATGATATTCTACATTTTTAATTACGTTACTTAATATTTTATTTTTTGTTTAGAATAAAAAATTAGGTAGCTTAATTTTCATAAATTTGATTGAAAGCTTAAAAATACTTATATTCTTTCTACTTTATTTTAATAATAATAATAATAATAATCGTCTTTATTGAAGAAAAAAAGATGTGTAACATTACATATATTATTACACATCATGCAACAAGGGTGGCGAAATTTAACAAAAAAAGTTATTCTTACATTTAACCACCCATAGCTGCCAGAAGATATTTGTTGAAAAATACGTTTAAAAGACAAAAAAGACAAAAAATATGTTCTATAAACTAACAAATTAAAAAATATACATAGTTAATTCTTATGCACATGGCATAATAAATAATTTTAAAAAATAAACAAAAAATACAAAACCATTATCATTCCTGTGAAGATAAAAGAAACATTTTATATTTTTTCGCAATTGGCCAAAATTACATTGTTTAAAATCATTATCAAGGGAATTGTAACTAGTGACGGCCATATAGGTAAAACTTCTTTGAAAAGGGCGGATCTATGTTGAGGCATGGTCAGTTGATTATGGTGTCTATATTACAATTATGCATGACATTACGAGGAATAAGTTTTTCACTCAGATATATAGGGGTGGATGTGCTACGAACTTTAAACAGAAACATGACGAAATGCAGCCTGACAGTGTTTGAAATCTTAAGCCACTTTAATTCATTAATACGAGCAGAGATATGATCGTACTTCCTCAGACCAAAAATGAAGCGACAGCAAACGTTTTGTACATACTGTAATCTGTTTTTAGAAACCAGATCCAAACATGGATAAAAAACAATATTAGCATAGTTGAAAACAGACAGTACCAGGGATTCACACAGTTTTTTTCGCATCTTAAAGTTTAAAATGTATCTATTGGAATATAATATTTTGACTCTCGTGTAAGTTGTTTGCAAAAGTTTCTTTATATGTTCTTTAAACCTAAGATGCGTGTCAATATATAGTCCCAAGTTCCTAGCGGAAGCTGAGTAGCGTAGATTTTCATTAGCTAATCTTAGTGTTATGCTTCGCTGTAAAGTTGCTCTTTTCTTCTCTGAACAAAACAAAAGAACTTCAGTTTTATTGGCATTTATTTTCAAATTGTGTTCAGTAGAATATTTTAAAATAGACTCCAAATCTAGGTTCAATAGAAGAGAAGCCGTATCAGAATTTACTGGATCAAAATAATGGAGAAGCTGCGTGTCATCGGCGTATGATTGTACGTGGGAATTAGAGACACTATCAAAAATGTCGAAGGTATATATCAGAAATAGTAGTGGTCCTAGAATGGAGCCCTGTGGGACACCCGATATTATTCTGCCGGCGGATGACAAACCACCATTTAACCTTACTCTCTGCGTTCTATCAGCAAGATACTCTCCAAGGAAAGTTTGAGACAGCTCGTCAAAACCCAAATAATGCAACTTAGCACACAGAAGATCATGGTCCAATACGTCGAACGCCTTGGAGTAATCCAAAGAAACGGACAGAACAGCCATACCCCTATCAAGAGCCCTGAAAATGTTATCTGTCAAGTTCAACATGGCTGTAGTTGTACTATGCATTTCACGAAATCCTGATTGATGAACTGGATAAAGTTTATTTCTTAAAAGAAAGTTGTTAATCTGAGCATACACTGCTCTCTCCAGTACCTTGGACATGACAGGCAACAAACTTATGGGCCGCAGATCGGTAACACTACCAGGGTATTTCACTTTCGGTATTGGGCAAACAATAGACTCCTTCCAGCATTTGGGGAAATACCCTGTTTCCAGGCAACAATTAATAATATGAGTAAGAGGATACAAGGTCGCAGGCAAACTGAGTTTCAACATGTGTAGAGTGAGATCATCACAACCTGCAGCATTAGATTTTATTTTGTATATATACCTAAGAATTGCTTCGGGAGACTCCATGGAGAAACCAAAATTTAATCCCACTCGGTACTTATTGTTCCTATAGAATGTGGTTTTATTAATACAAGTATTAGTTTTGTTAAATACGCTCAAGAAATATGTGTTCACATCTTCTGGACTATGCAATGAAGTAGAAAGATCATTAAAATTGCTTGACCCAGAGGAAACGCCCATATCTCTTAGACCCTTCCAAAGGATCCGTGCATCCCCTCGGCGCTCTAAATATTCCAAGTAACCAGACTTTTCCCTACGAACTGACCTCAGAGTGAGGTTTCTAAGATTTCTGTAATTTTCCAAGTTCTCTGGTGTGTTGTTTTTCTTATAGTTCAAAAGAGCTTTATCACGTTCGCCCATTAATAGTTTTAAAGCTGGAGTTAGCCAAGGCGCGGGCGGCTTAGTTACACGAACTGTTCTTAAAGGAACATGCAGTTCGAATAAGGATTTTAATTGAAAAGTGAGAAAATCGACTTTTTCATCGATATCTGTCATATAGTAAATGCTGTGCCATGGTACATTATGCAAATCACTATAGAATAAGACCTCATGAAATTGCTTGTAGTCTCGAAATGTAACAAATTTTAGAGGATTTTCTTGTATAGGTAACTTCATATTACAATATGTTAGTCTATGATCGCTTATATGCTGAGCATCAAGGGTACCACCAGACGCCACAATACTAGAGTCACTGACAAAAATCGGGTCGAGCAGGGAAGATCGACTATTGGAAACTCTAGTAGGTTCATCTATAACTTGAACAAAACCAAATGTATCAAAGAAATCCGATATTGGGTTTGATATATTATTGGAACACAAAAGATCAATGTTTAAATCACCCAAAACTGTAATATAGGTACATGAAGACAACATGTCTGGTAGAAATTTATCTAGAGCTTGAACACAATTCAAAACATTCATCTTAGTTCTGTAAATGACGCCTAATCCAAGACATATCCTATGGTTAATTTTAATCTTTAACCAGATATTCTCAAACCCATCCACCTGATCCTGTAAGTAAAGTCTTTCACACTTGTATACATTTTTTACATATATCCCAACACCTCCACCTCTACCAGTCAAGCGATCGCAGCGATGGAACGTGTAACCCGGAACAACACAAGAGTCAGACGCAATATGAGCACCTAGCCATGTCTCTGTTGTTGCTACAACATCAAAATTATGTTGTGTCACAATATCTGAAAAGTAATGAAATCCTGCGAAAAGAGATCTTACATTCAAATGACCAAGCCTAAACATAATTTATCTTTGATTTAAGAAGGCCCACTTTGGATTTATAAAAATTACAAATACGATCACTGGCCGAATGATCCATATCCCAATTTGTTTTGTATTTTTCATTGTGGAATTTACAGTTAGGGCAACATTTATTTATATCTGTAGTACAATTCTTACTGATATGATCACCTGCACAAAATTGACAAACAGGTTTATTTCGACAGTTTTTACTTAAGTGGCCGAATCTACAACAATTGAAACAACGGACTATATTAAAATGTTCACATACTTGGCACTTTATCCATCCAATATAAACATATCCTTTGTTCATTAGCGAACAGTAAACAGATGGAGACACATTTAATATAACATTAAGAGAAAATTTCAATGTAAAGGTCTTAACCACTTTTATGTTGTTTTCATCTTCTTCAAGTTTATTATCGTAAATTAATGATTTTATAAAACTATCGATAAGTACATCGGACGCATTGCCGGTACTACCATCACTATTTAAGTAGCTAGAAGGAACACCCTTTATCATAATTGTTGGATTTATTTTCTTTTGATCATAAACTTGATATTTCTCACCAATTGTGTTTACAAGATTTTGTTTTAATATATTAAGGTCATCCTTATCTTTACAAGCAATTAAAAATCCGTTTTTTGTAACTTTCGTATTTTTAATTTCAATATTTACTGCGCCCGGAGAACATTTCGATTTTATATCATATTCAATTTTATTTGGAGACACATTACTATCGACAGATTTAATAATTAAATAGGGCGAATTATTTGTTTTCACTACATCACTATAAGAAATGGTTGGAATGTCCGAATGTTTTTGTTCCATTCTTGTTATCATACCTTCGCCGTCGGCCAAGGTCCCGTACTTAGATTCCATATCTCCCATTCTTTTCTTTAACACTTGGATCGTATACTTTCCTAAGCTTACTTATCTATTTTCTAAGCTTACTTAGGTCTTAATTTAAGGATTACGTTAATTTAAAATTATTAAAAAAATTATTTATTATGCAAGTTGTAAATATATTAATTACCAAAATGAGTATTAAAAATGAGTTGTAATAAACTTAGGGAAAAGGTTAAGTGCTTTTTATAAGAGAACCAGAAAAGATCGAGTAACCTCAGACACGTGTATATTAAAACCAAACGGGAGGATTAACATAGAATTTATAATTAAAAGCATAAAAGAACATTACAGCATGATCCATAAGAAACCCGGAAATGATCTGTTAATTGGTGACACGTGTTTAAAGATTAAATAATGAATTAAAATAATTTAAAAAGATAATTCCTGATAAATAAAATGTTTAATTTATTAATTATATTGTAATAGAGAGTAAATAGAGAGATAAAAATATAACTATTTATTAAAATATTAAAAGTAGCAAGATTGATTGAAAAATGAAAAAAAATATACAAAAATATGCAGTACTAACACGGTATTCATATTTGTGCTAAATAAAATAAAAATGTTAATAGATAATAAAATAGAAAGGAGAAAAATACAAAATACAAGAAAAATAAATATATATTTTTAAATATCTCACGTTCTGTCAGTATTTACTAAAAATACATAAAAGAACTTTAGAATTGTTGATACTGAACGTAAGTACGTATTTAGACGTAAAATATATGATAAGTAAAATTAGAAAATAGTATCATTATAATCTTATAATTTAGAGTATTTAATAAAACTATTTTTTTACAAAAAAATTGTATATTTGTCGGAAAAGTAGTTCTCCTGAAATTTTTCTTGCATTAACACTTTTTTTCATATTAATTGTAAATATATTAATGCCAGAAAATACGGAACTACTAGGTATTAACTAGTTACTTGAAGTGAGATAGTATTATATTTAAAATTCCACATTTTTGAGACAATAATTATTTATATTTTGGCCTTATAGAAGGGCGCGAACATATATATCAATTTTTAGTTCTACATTTAGATTTTATTAGACTCTGAGTGTCTACCCAAAAATTACACAAACGCTATATTATTTATCATTGTGGTTTAACAAAATAATTATAAAACTAAATAAAACGTAACACGGTTCAAATACTAAAGACAATTTATTGGCATTTGATACGCATTTACTTGCAAAATGATTTATTTTGTATATTGTTTTTTTTTATTTCTAGTTTTAGTACTTTATTGTATAATATTGTATTATCTTGTCAAAGAGAAGACTATTTTAACAGTTAGTATAAATCGAAAATATACCAATTCACAACAGATTGCATTATTAAATGTTTTATTGTCTTCGGATGCAAAGGTCATAACGATGTTCATTGTTAAAACTATTTCAAGAATTTGATAGACATCAGCATTAAAATATGTAAATGTATGTTTGGCTATTTAAATAACATCACTTTTCATCAAAATATATTGATATAATCTAATCAAAATTTTAACACAGTAAAAATATATTTTTAAAAATTTAATTTAATAAAATATAACCTAAATCAATCATGAATATGAATGCTTTATTCATTGGATATTAATAATGTGTTAACTGAGATCTACTCTAATGTTACAATTATGTTTAATTTTATAAATTTAATTTATATTTTAACCTCTTTCTGTTAATACAATTAAACAGTCATGGTTTTTAATGAAATATAGCTTACTATACCACCGTAATTATTGAATATCTAAATTTATCCTATTGAATATTGAATGAAAAGCGAATAAAAGCCGATTTTACCTATTCTGTAAATTGAATGTGTATACATCGTTACTTAATAAACTTAAACAAAATTGCTTTTCCTTAATTAATTGATAATTAAGTAAATCGTTTAACATTTTTATTTATTTTCTAATATTTTTTTTCATATAGCATACATTTTTTCATAAAAAGAAGTAATAAACGTAGGTATTACAGGGTCAGCAAAAATTTCGAAAAAATTAGATCCCAAAAAAAATCAGATTAGTTATTCGGATAGTTATTTTGCACACTGAACTAGTTTTCTCAATAACAAAGTATTCATTTTCGATAACTATTCTCACCTTTTCCGTAGCTTTCAAATAGCAAATATGACGTTAATTAAAATTTTATCGATAACAATAAATTAAAGAATGAAAACGAAAACATTTTACCCTATCTTTCATGTATTTTTTTAATTTTCTCTAAAACGGTATGGAAATTTGGAAAAGTATAAACGGGATTAACCACTCTAGAACAAGAATTTTTATTATGAAGAATGCATTTTTTCTCAAAATATCAATAATAAGAAAATTTTTCCTATTGTAAAGACAATCCGGGGACATACTGTAAAACATGACGACAACTACACAAACAAATATAATATCTAAATTACTCTATTTTATTAACATACCTTTTAAATGGTTGTTACCGTCGTCCGAGATATGATCTGAACTATCTAAACCATACTCTGCGTCATCTTGTCTAACAACATAGGCCAGGTTTTCCACGAAAAATATAACCAGTATTACCCATGTTATAAGAGTCGATAGTCCCATCTGAAAAATAAATAGTGGAATATTATTTCAAGGTCTATATTTCTTTATGTATTTTTTTATATAAAAAGATCAATACGAATTATAGCTCATAAGTTATTTAAGAACTAGTATTTAGGCGTTTTTTCTCTGTAAAAATATGCTAGAGTATCGTTTGCAGTCGATATCTTGAAAGATTTAATTATATAAATCAATACATTATGTCATCGTATTTTAAGATTAATTTCTCTTAATATCGGTTCTTATGAAAAAAGTCAAATTGTTGATAATAACACGGTTGTACTTAGGTGACAGTAATAAATAAGATTTATAAGGAAAAAGTCAAAAGGTAAGAAAAATATATCTTAAATAATATATTTCTTCTGAGAAATACAAATAAATTTCTCACTTTCCTTCATATTTCATAGGAAAAATATAGTTATAATAAAACTACTTCGCGGAAACACGCAGCATCCAAACTGACGAAAACGAATTTCTGAGAAATATATACCTGCTAACCAGAAATTTATGCTACAGACAAAGACTATATCTTACTTAGACCAACCTTTATTAGAATTTTGCAAATAGTTTCTTAACAGTAACAATATTGTCCTATTTTAATAATCCCCTGATTAAAATCATTCCCGGGAAAGAGACTCAAAAATAACAATAGAAGCAGAAATGTAAGATCATGGCTACTGCTTTTAGACAAACCAAACCAAAATTAATCTCTCAACGTTCTGCATAACTCAGTGGTTGAAGAATAATAATTAACTGCCGTTGTCTCGTATTTTGTTCCGATTTAAAAATATCTGGTTATAAGTACTGAAAAGAACCGTCTATTGAAAAAATAAATATATTTTTTAGGTCAGGAACACTGAGTTGAAATGAAAGAAGCGATAGCCTCTAAAAGAAAAATAACAGAGATTTTTTAATACATTCTAATAAAAATAAATGGATGTATGAGCACATCTGTAGATGTTGGGATTATAATAAACTATGGAGGTATAATTACTAGATATTTTCGCAATATAGCTAGCTATAGTATGTCCTCTTAATTAGTAATAATTAATATTCTTGCTTTATCCACAACGAAGTACCTCCTTGTAGGTTACAGTTAAAAGTTACAGACTTGGTGTCCCCAGATTGGCGCCAAGTCTCGGATATGTCATTAGTAAACGTCAGTTCAGACAGCCGCCATGTCGGTAGGACATATTCTTTATCTATGTTGGTAGGCCATTGACAATGATAAGATCGAGGTCCGCCGTTCATATTCCGCGTAAACAAAGTAGGCCGTCCAGATCAGCCTAGAAGCAAAAAGGAGACGTTAACTTAAAATACATTTTACTTCTTTTTAAACACTGTTATTATATTATACAGGGTGGCGCCTTTCATACGCCGCGGAAGCTCCAAGGAAAACGGTAGTTTATATCTAAATGAAATTTTGGCAGCATATGTAGGTTAACTGAAAGCATTTCATAAAAATATGCAAAAATGCAGAATGTAATATAGGGGAATAGCTTCTTTGATGAGATAAGCAGGTCTCCTTGATGAGATAAACGCAATTTTATTAATCACAATTAATAAACTTAATATAAAAATAAAATTAATAAATTACATATTTTACCTAATTTATTATTATTAAATATTATTACTATTAGTTAGTATTATTATTAGTCCAACCTAGCGTAATTTAAAATAAAAAAAGTAATTGTATTTAAGATAATTACACAAAACCTAATTTTAAAATGTTTTAACATCCTGTAACTCTAAAACTATGCATTTCCATACCCATGTTTATAGGAACTTTTTTTCATATTTTTTGAAGAGGAATCAATGAGTACTTATTTATAACTTTTGCAAGTCAATGATGTTATTTTTTTTTAAAGTTGCTATTAGACTTGATCGAGGACTTGATCAAGGCAAAGTGATAAAATTGCGTTTATCTCATCAAGGAGGCTGAAATCGACAAAATATCAAGAGACAAATTTTAATCGGCATTAAATTCTTTACACTATTTCGCTAACGAGCGAAAAAAAGTCAGTGGCGTACATGCCTTTTTTTAGAAAAAAATTCCAGTGATAACCCATATGAGCCCCACTGAAGCTCCGTTAATATACACAATCGAGACTGGTGTTCTGACTGCAGGCGCTGCAAGTGAAGCGCAGGCGACTCAGAAATTAGCAGTGATGATCAGCCGGCAGTGAATTAAGCTGTGGTTATATTTCAAGAATAGAAGGAGAATATTTTAAAGCAATTTTAGAAAAATATCAGTTTTACAAAATTTAGACATAATTTTTCTAAAATAAAACCAATATTGTAATAACATACGAATTTTATTAAGTAAGTAAGTAGTATAATGCATATTTACATAACTCACAACTAAATTACTTATTCTGGACATTTTCCACGGTCAAAATTCTTCGCGAGAGAAGTATGCCGTTAATTTTTTATTTGAATTGCATTAAAAATCTAATTAAAACCTAAGCGGTTCGTTCCTCTTGGGTATGTAACCTTAAGTATTTCTTTGGTAGAAAATTATACAGAGTTAAGCCACGTCAATTAATGATGGTGCTATACAGATTCTGCACTATTTAAGTTACTTTTCAATTAATTTTTAGATTTTCTTTCTGCGTATTAATTTTTAGTTTCTCAGATTCAATAAATTTAACAAAATGAAAGTTCGTCAGTTAAGTATTTCATTGACAAAGAATCCACCATCAAGAAATATTAGAAATAATAAAAAGTATTAGAAAATTAAATAACATTTTTTTCTGAATTAAATAAACTATTTTTTTGCAATTTGTTTCATTAAATGTACAATTTTACCATTACCTCAGAGCAATAATTTAGAATTTATTGTCACTTAATTTAAAGCAAAAAATGAGGTATACGTGACACATCAGCTAATTTAATTAAAAGAAATAATACGGGGACCATTTTAAAATTACATACATTTTTATGGTTAGGGATTTAGGATGTTATGATTTTTTGATTCCCTTGATAATATGGGGCTTCTTGTCGAGAAAAAATTAAGTAAATTTTTTAGTGCTCCTAAAGCTTCGTTTTTTGTAATTTTATATTGTTTATAATTTATTTATCTAAAATTTTTCATTTTAATTTATTGCCTATTTATTTCGTATCTCATTTATTTTCCCTATTTTAATTAATCTTTGTCAAATAAAATTGTAGAATTTAAAATTCAACCCCTTATAAAAAAATTAACCCTTGTGGAAATAACATTATATTAGACGAACTTTCAGTTTGCAGTACAGTTTCTTGTCTAATTATGCATGTAATTAGATAACAAATAAACAAATATGTATATTTATTAATAACTCAAATATATCGAGTACTTAATACGCTAAAATATTTTCTCTGTTCCTGTTCGAGTTAATTGACTTTAGTTGTTTAGAATATTCATTAATCCAGTTTTGCGTCACGATATTTAAATGGTAACTATATAAGTTGTTAACGATTAGTGAGTAAATATATGGTTTATACCTATTTTTACTTCAATTTGTATCTAAAAATAGTGTTACTAATAAAAATGTCTAGCTCATAATGTGTGGAGTATGTAATAGGTGTGTAAAAATAATTTGACTTTGAATTTTTCAGGGTCTTATTTTATTCTTTAATGAAATGCGTAGAAAATATTGACTATGTTATGGAATTTTTAATTTATGTATATACCTACAGGTAGTGTTCAAGAATGTTAAAATTATTGTATATTAAGTCTTCTAAATTTTTTGTACTGATATTTTTGAAAGGGAAAAAAATTCTGAAGTTTTATAAATTGAATAACATTTTTTTGGTGAATTAAATAACGATTTTTTATTTTTCGTTTTAAATCAAATATAGAGTAGTAGTAGATTTTTTTACAGTAAATAAACGTATACTGGTAAATATTTATAAATTGAAATTAAATTTTACTTTTATATTGACATTTTGTTATAAATGCTTTTAAAAATAATTGAATTAGTAATGGATATTGAGTTTTAATATTTATATGGGGTTTTCATACTGCTTTTGAAAGTTGTGCCCACAGATGCAAGGTATCAGTATAACCAAATATAAATGTTGAAATAGAAAATAATGTTTGTGATATAAAAGTTGTGTCAAAATTCATCCTCATCATTAGAAACATATTCCGCTAGATTTATAAATTTGTTTTTCTTAGAAAAATAATTAGAAAAATTAAAAATAAAATATATATTATTTTTTTACTATTTTGCAGATACTCTGCTTATACTAATTCTATTTCGAGTTTAAAAACTACAATTGCATAAAAATTAGAGTGGAATTAGATACACCGCTTCGGACGATCACGTAGAATTTTAAATCCAGATCACGCAAAAGACATCTACAAAATTTTAATTTTAAATAGGGCTTCAACAGTATTTCGTAACAAAATATAAAAATACTTTGTACAAAAGAAAGACAGTTTTTGCCAGTGCTCGTAAAAGAATTAAAAAATACGATATAAAAAGTTAAAAAACTAAGAATATAAAATTAAACCATTGATACAAAACAATTACTTAGCATTGTACAACAAGATGGAGCGATGCATTTCGATATAAATATATTTGTTTCTAGTAAAGGTATTTCAGATTCAGTTGTATATTGTATAATAATACAGGATTATATGGAATTAAAATATATAGCTAATTTTGGAAGTGTGGACTTTAGATATAGACATACTTATATTGAATATAGATATTTATGACAGACTATATATATATTTTTTTTAATTTTGTGGTCTTTTTTATTATTATAGAATTTTAATAACATAATATGCATTCAATACATGCCCAAAATATTACAAATGAAACGTAAAAACAGCCAATAGAGATCCTATATAAAATGTTGTAAAATATACCAAAAAAACTACTTGTATTATATCGTACATCAGATTTATCTACAACAAAATAATATTTAGTCAAATGCGAGTTTTAATTCTAGCTGCCCACTACAGCTTCATTTAAATTCTTCACGGTTGTTCCCTTAAATTCGCTTTGAAAGAA